GACCACAATTTCCAATTACGAGAATTGCTGTCATATACCTTCAAAGAACTTATTCAAGCATGCATATGTCCAAAAGATCTAAGTATTGCAGCATTTAAATAGAGAATAAGTTGCTTACCCATGAGAAATGGCCACCGTGAAATCTATTGTCTGTGCCAGCCAAATGCGAGTCCAAAGGGGTAAGCTTCAACAGCCTGGGAGCTGGTATTTTGTTTCCAGCTCTACCACTAAATGCAGTCTTGGTCTTTCCATCTTTGTCAGTGAAGAGAGTGCATATAAGAACCAAATAAGTATCAGTTGTGCCTAACACCCACTTCCCATCATAAGTTACATCAACATGGGTAATGGGGGAACCCAGCCCCGGAAATGCAGTCTTTGCCTGCCTCATGGAGGTCTTGGAATACAGCCTTATCTTCCCTTCCAGAGATCCAACAACAATAGACCCATCTCCAGTGGTAGCAAAGCACTGAAAATTGGTCCCTCGAGAAAACTGATGCCCCTGAGTCCAATTCAGCACGGGCGAATTAGCGGCAGCAATGTTCTGAACCATTCCTGCCCTATCACGCATATCCCACTGACAAAGCCTGTTATCATCCAAACCTAAAAAGGTTGATTCCGAAGGATCCAATTGCGACGCTTTAGTGTCATTAGTAATATCCCTCATTGTAATATCTGTTCCATCCTTTTGAAACTTCCATTCAGTGACAATCTTGCCGGTCTCAATATCAAGCTGTTGAATCCCATTAGCTTGAGGCTTCCCTTCCTTCAATGGACTCATAAGCAGCATATTAGTCTCAGCCCTCATTAACAGAGCCTTCTTGGGCGTCGATCTCCCTAAACTCGAGCCCCCGCTATCGAATTTCGCGACTACACCCTTCCCATGAATCCCATCGTTGAAATTCCGATAAACCTGAACACCAGTGTCGTTCACCAAGAAGCTATTGTCCATTGCGCCAAGGGTTAAGCTCTGGACACCTCCATTGGCGGCCTCCTCGAACTCCTCCATCAAGTCCTGGCTGGGCCGGACCGGCGTAGCCGACTTAGGGCTTTGATCAATATCAATATCATCATAGTCCCAAGCCGAATCGTCGGCTGCCTCCGGCTTGGCCCACCCGAGAAACTCCTTGCCGTAAACCTTGACCTTGTTCTCCTCCGTGGCTTTGACTCCGTACACGTTCTCGAACAAGTAGTCCTGAAACTCCGTCACGAACCTCCGGTACTGCTCGTCGGTGTAAAATTTCAAAGCCCAGACGCCCTTGGACACGAAATCGACTCGGCGCTGATCGCCGAACATCTTCAATTGCATGTCGGTGGAAACCCTAGCTCGGACCTTGGACCCGACCTTCAGAACCCACTGTCCCTCACGGTCCGATCGAACGTCGTCGTCGTAATCATCGTCGCCGTCGACATTAAAGGTCTTGACGAAAGAGTAAGAGGGCTTATCGGAGACAACCCACTTGGCCTTGGGAGTGTTGCCACCGATGTGGAGATAGAGCTTGACGGCGTTCTGGTTTTGCGCGGCAGAGGAAGAGGAAGGGGAGCCGTACTTGAGCTTGAGGGCTTTGAGCTTGGCGTCGACATCGTCGATGGAGGCGTCTAGGGTTTTGGATTTGGGCTTCGAGGAGGGCTGGTGCGGCTTCTCCTCGGCGTCGTCGTACTGGTCTTCGTCTTCCGAAACCTCTTCTTCTTCCGACTCGTACTCGTCTGAGTCGGTGATGTGATCCTCGCGGCTCTGAGAGGTTCCCATGGCTTTTGGAATTCGAAATTCTCAGAGCTCAGAAAGACAAATGGAGAATTTCGAATTTCGAAGATTTTGTTTGGGAAATGAAATTCGAGTATTGAGAATTTGGGAGCGAAAGAAATTGTAGAGGTTTTGATTTTGTGGAGTGTCTGCAGAGTTGGCTGCTGACTCGGTTGCTTTTTTATATGTGCTTTGCTTTCAGCGTAGCGTTGATTCGACGTGGCCTTTGCTTCTTGGTTAAGGAAGGGATTGGCTGTAAGACCATCTCCAACCATGAGGGCCAAACCCAAATTTTAGGATTATAGCCCCAAAAACCTTCTCCAACCATGTATAATGAGGGGTGGTAATTTGGGTCAGACTGAAATCTTGGGTGGAATTTGGCCCAACTTTCCAGTCCGGGTGGAATTTCTGTGGGCCCCAAGTCGAAGCCAACTTGTGCAGCATGTGAAGGAATGACAAGACAGGGCAAATTGGCTAGACACGTGGAAGGCTCGCATCAAAGGGACGTTGGAATCCAACAGCTCCCTTTGAAAACCAATTATGCATCTACTTGTTCTTTTTTTAATTCTTTATATAATCTTTTGGAGCCTTTAAAAGCTGGCCACGTGTAAAGCAATGGGAACCAACTTTTTGTCATTTTTCAAGCTTTCTCAAATAGATATAAACAGCCCATATTTTTTTCAACTTGATTTTTAACGAGAAAAAGAAGATCCAATTATCAAAATTAAAATCAAATGGTTAAAATAATATTTGTAATTTATCTAAATGAGATCCCACTCTCAAACTATACAATCATTCTCATTTTAATTTCAAGCCAAAAAAAATGTTATGTTCATGGAATTTTAATTTTTTTAGATTAAAATGTTTAGAAAATTAATTCACGAATGTTGAAACAAAATTAATGTCAAGAAAAATTAATGACAAAAAAAATTTAAGCGTTAATCATTCTTAAACAATTTAATAAAGTTGCAGACTCAAATTATGAGTCCGCAAGGTTGGAGGAAAAAACAGTTTGAGTCCTAAAAATACATGAATAGTTGTATTTTGGAGGGTGAAAATTTGAGTTTAGCCCTAACATGGTTGGAGATGGTCTAAGGCGGGGTACATCGCCCTTTTGTGAGAGTATATGCCACGTATGCGTTTGATTAATGTGATCGACCTCTCTCATCCCTTTTGTGAGACTATAATCCCTTTTCGGAGACATTACTTAAAAAGTTTAAAATTTGCTTTATGAACCGTTAGGATTAGTTGGTTAATCGGTTAATCCTATCTTATCAAAAAATAAAATAAAAAAATTTAAAACTCATGATATGTTTACTTCAAATATGTGAAGTCTTGAATCTGAAAGTCACGAATAAATTAGATAACGAGTAAACATAAAAAAGAATATGTTTGCTCGATATTAGATTACACATTTGTGAGACCACACACTTACACTAGTAGTAAACACAAACAAATTAGAAAAGACATCAAATACTCATTACATGTAAGCAAATATGCTATTAAGATCTCTAGTTTAATTGACTACGTTTTGTTTATTTACCATAAAGAGATTACTAAGCCGTTAGTGCATGAGATAATGAGTTAGGATTAAGCTAGATTAAAGGTTCGATTCCCTTTCATTGTAATGAAAAAAAAATGAAGTACTTATTTAGCTCGAAGGTTGATATTTTATGTCATCATATTTATACATTACGAAGTATCATAAACATCGCACATAAAGATTAAAGTTTTTGTATTTTGTATTTTTTTAAAACAAAGATTATATTTTTCAATAGGACACGAGAATGAACTCCAAATTCAACAAAAGATTTTTTTTTTTTTTTAGGGAGCCTAAGCCCCTTTTTAAGATTGAAAAAAGAGCCAAAGAACCACAGATGAAGTGCTATGTAGGATGTAGGGAAGGTGGTGTCTAGCTTCGATTCTCATTGTAAACAACAAACAAAAGAAGTATTATACTAAAAGGTGGAAAGTGGAGCTGTATACAATGATCAATAACAAAACAAAATAATTAAAAGAAAGTTTTTAAATCAAAGTTTTCTTGGGTGATCATTACAAGGAATGTGGGCGGAAATCCAGCCAGCAAAGCAAGACACAAGGGCTAAGGCAGCCGAACTACTAGCCCAATAGGCAACCAATTTGAGAAGCTTGCTTGCCTTACCAAAACTTGGCAGTAATATGACTAAGTAGAGGCCATGAGTAAGAAGAACGGGAGAAACTGACCAAAAAAATAAAAGAACAGGAGGAACCAGAAATGATCATAAGTTGCCTCCAAATCTCTAATTGGCATCCATAGAATAAAACTCGTTCTTAGATGGATTGTGGGAACAACAGGCTTGCGATCACAAATCCCGTTCCAAGAGCAATGCTGCTGCCAGTTATGGATAATGAGACTAACCCTAGCATCAAGAGCCAAACCCGAACTCAGGATAGGAGGACTAGTAAGAAGGTGGGAGAGGTCCCAATGGATGTCAGTTGTCAAACCACAAATTCAATTGGGACTTGTATCTAAATCTCTGATTTATAGATTTTTCTCCAATTCCAGAGCAAAGTTGTGGAGGGTTAACAGCCCAAATGCTCATGCCCCTGTGATTATACTTATGCACCCCCTAGCATCAAGAGCCAAACCCGAACTCAGGATAGCAGGAGGACTCGTAAGAAGGTGGGAGAGGTCCCAATGGATGTCAGTTGTCAAACCACAAATTCAATTGGGACTTGTATCTAAATCTCTGATTTATAGATTTTTCTCCAATTCCAGAGCAAACTTGTGGAGGGTTAACAGCCCAAATGCTCATGCCCCTGTGATTATACTTATGCACCCCCTAGCATCAAGAGCCAAACCCGAACTCAGGATAGCAGGAGGACTCCCAAGAGCAATGCTGCTGCCAGTTATGGATAATGAGACTAACCCTAGCATCAAGAGCCAAACCCGAACTCAGGATAGGAGGACTAGTAAGAAGGTGGGAGAGGTCCGAATGGATGTCAGTTGTCAAACCACAAATTCAATTGGGACTTGTATCTAAATCTCTGATTTATAGATTTTTCTCCAAGTTCTAGAGCAAACTTGTGGAGGGTTAATAGCCCAAATGCTCATGCCCCTGTGATTATACTTACGCACCCATCTAGTCCAAATGCTGTCAGAATCGCTCACAACATGCCATAAGCATCTAAGCATCAAGGGTTTGTTCCAAGAATGCAATGCAAGCACCTGATGCCCAGGCCTGCACCACTGAATACTGAAGATATGCAAGTCTACGACTGTCCAAGAAACCAATAACGATCAACAATTGAATTTTTCTCATACAAGCAATCTCACAACTAAACTAGTACCACAATTTCAAGCAAATTTTGTCATTGGTTCATTGCTGGGTATAGGTAGCATAATCACGTTTTCCAAATTTCAGCTTTGCCTACAAGTATACTTACCTATTACACCGGACAGTTGAACTTGCTAAAACAAGAATAGTAAGCCACAGGTTTTCTGTTTCCTTGGCCACCTTCAAATGAAGCTCTGAATTCCCAGAACACGAACCACATTCTTCTCACAGAGCATCACGAGAGGCAATCCGGCAAGTAATGGCATCAGCAAGAGAAGATATCCCTAGTTCCACGCTAGTTATTTTATAGTGCTGAAAATAAAGAGTGTTGATGATCACTAACTAGAAACAAAATCACAACAAAACTAATTGCCGCTAGAAAAGTGATCAAGACTCAAGAGTGTACCTTTTGTATTTGGGCTTGGTCTGCTCTACCTCCCAACTCCTCCAAGTCAATCTCTTTTCCATTGATTAGTTTCTCTACTGCTTTCTGTTCAATCTAGTATTCAACAAAAATTATGAAAGTCAGAATGGCTAACATTTTCTGATATCCTGAAGCAATGCAAGGCTTGATCTACTACACCTTTCAGAGTGATCTTACCTCATCAGAAGAAGCATTAAAACGAGCAGCAAGCATATAAGTCGAGCTTTCAGAGATGCCACATCTTTTCAACGATTCTGTGATCTAATCATGTTCAAAGCTAGGGGTTACATATTTGCAGCACGAGAAAAATAAGCAACAGACCACAGAACATATTAGTTAATAGGTAGAAAATTACATGCTTGGATCCTGAGTAATTGTAAACAAGCTCAGAATGAAGAGTGCGCGTTGTCAACGACTCTCGGGACTTGGCTACAAGTGTCTTATGTGCAGCTGCAAGCAAAGGAAAAACATCTGGTATCTGCTTCCATTGTGGGTGAAGGTAACATTAGAGGAACTCAACAAGAAGGATCTCAGCAAAGAGAATACAACATTGAAGGAAAAAATAAAAAAAGGGATGGTTAAAGTATGGAATAAAACCAGTGAAGCATTCAGGAACGCGACTTCGGGGTCTAGTGTCCCAGATTGCATAGAATCAAGCAGCTCCCTACAAGATAATGACTTTATAACATAAGACAGATATATCACACATAAGTTTTGTTCCACTTCAATTGAAGTAGATGGGTTCATTCTTACTTCTGTTTAAAATTAAAACATCTTTCAAATTCAACTACAAATTCAATAACTTTCTTTTTCTCTTTTGGGACTGAAATTAGATTAACATGCGATGGCAATCTTGTTTGCAGTTAGAGCTATGTTAAGTAGAGGCAATCATCGGTTCCCAAAAATTAATACATCGGAAGAAGGAAAAAAAAACACTTGTTCTTACTGGCATGAGATAAGTGAACAAGTTCGTATCTATGTGCTAAAGAAATTATGACAACGAAATGCCCAACTTAAATCTCCAGCTTAACCAGGTTTTGATGGAAAATCCAGGGGAACGAAATTGGGTTTGGTGAATTTTCCATGAGAAAGCAATACCCAGTTGAGCTAGTTGCAAGAGAGAGAGAGAGAGAGAGAGAGAGAGAGAGAGAGAGTACTTGGAGTTGGTGACTTCAGTGAAGAGAGCAAGAGAGAGAGTGTTCCCATTGACCTCAAACGCCTTCATGATTGCGTCTTCAAGCTATAGGCTTTTGCACTGCAAGTCTGCAACAAAACAATTTAATTGAAGCTTACAATTTCTGGTGCGAATACATAATCGAATAAAAAAAAGTAGCAAAAAAGCATCATGGGTTTTACCAGCAGGTTCCTATTCTCGGCTGCTGCTCTGCCTAGGGTTTTACCACCAGTTTTGTCTATAAAAAGTCAAAATAAAAAAAATAAAGCCATTTTTAAGCGCGCCAGGTAGGGGTCGAACCTACGACTTTCTGCTTAGGAAACAGACGCTCTATCCACTGAGCTACAGGCGCCTACTTGCTAATTTGTCTGCAATAAATATTAATAAATAATAATTTCTATGTTATGTATTGCCGTGCCTATGGGTGTTAGTATATAATAAGACACATTGACGGATATCTGTTCGGTCTCCAGGCTTAAGGCAACAAGAGCCAAGCTTGAAAACCATACTTGCATTGCATTGATTTTATGTAGGTTTTTTTTTATTTTTTTTATTTTTATTTTATAATTATTGGAAAAGATGCTTTATTCGAAATAATAGAAGATGCCTAAGTAGATGAAATCATTCGAAACCTAACATAAGAGAGATGACAATAGTGTAATTTAGACAAAGATTCGCAGCTTGAACCAATTACAAAGAAACAAGAAAAAGAAAATAATAGGAAGTCTGAACACCCCTATCCAAAATCTAACGTGAGAGATATGAACTGTAGTGTTATCTTAAAAAAGATTTGTAGCTTGAACCAATAACGAGAAAATAAATAAAAGAAAAGTGTTGTTATTCCCACTAATCTGTCTTATTTTCCCATCCACCTTATCTTTAAACATTTAAAGACAAATTTAATCATAAAATGACTTAGACTTAAGGAAAAATAAAGAGACAAAAAAAAAAAAAAGTTGACTTCTCAAGTTGTCACGAACCCTATCGTTTGACAGAAAGAAAAAAAACTTAAGAAAGCTACGACTCCTTGCTCATTATTCCTCTTATGACTTTTCAATGCCCATAACTTAATTCTCAAATAATTTTCTTCTCTTTTCTATTCATTCAATCAAATTGTTATTATGAAGAATAAAACAACAAGAGAATGGATGTTCTTTTCTATTCATTCAATCAAATTGTTATTATGAAGAATAAAACAACAAGAGAATGGATGTTAAAGAGAACGATTTTGGCGAAAAAGTAAGGAAATCCTATTTGAATAGACTTTCTAAGATCTTTACGATTACTTAAAGCATTGGGAGATGAGTATTTCTTGGACTATGATTTTTTTTTCCTAAAACAAATTAAAAATCTAAAAACCTGGGAATGAATCAACAATTCTATGATTTGCGTTCTGTTGATTACACAAAGAATGTTCCTTACAAAACCAATTTGGCTGAGGATTTTTTGAGGCATGAGGAGGTGAAGAAGGCTTTGGGGGGTTAATAGGTCATTGGTTTTTGAGGAATTAATGCAGTGATTTGGTGGGGAATATTTTGCATGAAGATGTGACGAAGAGTGTGAAATACATGGATATATTTGATGAAGAAGAACAAGGTCTTGCTGTACCAGGGGAAGTTTGATTTGAGAGATGGTGCGGTTTCCATTGAGGCAGAAAGAGATGTATAGTAAACATGATAGAGAGAGAGAGAGAGAGAGAGAGAGAGAGAGAGAGATGGAAAATAAGATACAACAAAAATGAGAAAGATGTGTGGACCGTCAGAGAGAGAGAGAGAAAACATGAGCAGAGAGAATAAAAGGAGAGAGGAAATGAGATAATAATTAAAATGGTATTTTATGAATATTGGTGGGTGGCAAAATAGGATTATGATTTTCAAAATTTATATGGTGCGTGGGAAAATATGAAGGGTGGGTAGAGATAGCATCACTCTAAAAGAAAAACGAAGAAGCATGAACACCCACAGCTTTGCTAGAATCCTGCCCCCTACAGTGAAAAAGAGAAAAATAGAAAAACAAACATTAGAAGAGAAAGAAACAGCTCTTTCATTACTGTATTGATTTTTTTTTTTGGTCGAATATTACTGTATTGATTAACGAAATCTTTCAGGCAAGAACAAATGTTGTCTTGTAAATATTAACCATATTGACCTGGTCAAAAATCTCCATGGGCTCTCAAAACCATCATCTATCTTCAAGCATAGCCCTCCACGTGTCAACCCCAACCACGCCATGCCCAACCTTCCCCTTGGCGCCCATTCCTCAATTTCACCAAGAAAACAAAATCTTGCCAAACTTTGGCATCCTTTCTTTCTGGGTTAGGGTTCCCAGCAGGACGACATGTCCCTCTGCCTCTTCCTCCTATGGCTCGTCACCATCCCTCTCCTCGCCTACTCTCAAAGTAACCCTAGAGGCAGGTTCCATAAATACACATGGCACATCCCCACTAGACACATTTTCTCGCTTTTTATCTTTAGGGTTTTTCTTGTTTGTTCATTTTTTTTCACCCAAAAATAACACAAAATTCTAGCATTTTCCTCTAGTTGATTATACAATCCCATCTGTCAAATTTTATTTCAAACTTTTGAGAATTGTGTTCTAATCAATTTCGAAGCCTTGAATTATATGATCTTTCTCTATTGTCCAGTATTTGATGCTGAAATATATTTTCCAAAGTAGGTACATGCAAAATTAATGTCTCAAAAATGCAGGGTACCTCCTAAACTGTGGAGCTGGGCCGTCGCCTGGCAACGACGTAACAGTAGGGAGCCTGAAATACATCACAGACGAGGGCTTCATATCGGTGGGAAACACCAGCACCATCAAACAGGATGGCCTCGTGCCCATACTGACCACATTGCGCTATTTCCCAAACAAGTCCGCACGTAAGTACTGCTACGCTATCCCCGTGATCAAAGGAGGGAAGTATCTCGTTCGAACGACGTACTATTATGGCGGTTTTGATGGCGGGAAGGAGCCTCCGGTGTTTGATCAGATTGTGGAGGGGACTAAATGGAGTGTGGTTAACACCACGGAGGACCATGCCAATGGGATGAGCTCGTATTATGAGATTGTGGTGAAGGCTCGGGGAAAAGCCTTAAGTGTGTGCCTTGCGAGGAATAACATGACGGCATCAGGTTCTAGCCCCTTTATCTCAGCTCTTGAGCTGGAGTACATGGACGATTCAGTGTACAATGCCACGGATTTTAACAAGTATGCGCTTACCACGGTGGCCAGGAGTAGCTTTGGAGATGATGGTGACATAATTGGGTAGGAACTCAATTTGTTCTTTAGTACTCCTTGCTGCATTTTATCAATATTAACTTGAGAGCAATGCAGTTGGACTACATTGTAAACTACGTCACTAATAGAGGTGTGACTAGGTGCATCAGCTGCACTAGTCGGTTCCACCTTTATCAGAAATGTGGTTTACAATGCGGTCTACAGATGTGATCAAAATGGTCTATTTTTTATTGGTACTAGCAATATATACTATGTGTACATTTGCAGATAAAACTATTTGAAGGTCTGAACCATATTTATATATGGGCACATTGTAGAGGCAGATCAGACTTACTACTTGTTAAGTGGGACCTACCTCCACTCTACTAGTGATGTAGCCTAAAATGTGACTTATGTAACGTAGGTCATATGTGCATCATACCTTTGTAAGCTATGATCAGAATTTTTTTAAAACTAACATAGGTTTTGGCATGAGATATACCAAAAGGAAATATAAATTTGTCTTTGGATACAAGTTTTTATTTTATGAATGCTACGTTATCTGTACAATTATATATAATGAACTATCTGATGTTGAATATGTAAATATGAACTTAGCTTTCCAGATGACAAATTCAACCGGTTATGGCAACCTTACAAGGACCAGAACCCTGTTGTGCCCTGCAAGTATAATGTAACTCCCTCCGATTTTTGGAACATCCCGCCAGCAAAAATATTCCAAAATTCTGTCACGAGCAGCCGAGAGAAGCCACTGCAAATCAAATGGCCAGCCGGGTCACTCCCCAGTGCAAGCTACTACATTGCATTATATTTCCAGGACAACAGAAATCCAAGTCCATATAGTTGGAGAGTCTTTAATGTTTCTGTGAATGACAAGAACTTCTACGCCAACATTAACGTCAGCACCAGAGGCTTAACAGTTTATGCACCGCAATGGCCGCTTTCCGGGCAGACTCAGATTGTCCTAACTCCTGGCCAGGGCATACCTGTTGGGCCTGTCATCAGCGCCGGTGAGATCATGCAGATTCTGCCTCTTGGAGGAGTGACTGTCAATAGAGATGGTACAGCTTATTCAATATCCCATCCACTTTTTTCACCATTTCTTAAACCATGGTTATTTTTATGAGACTTTCCTCTTTTCTTGCTTGTTTGAACTTTTAACCAGTAAATGTCTTTGGTGTTCCTTAGTTGCGGCAATGATTGAATTGAGAAGACATTTCGACAATCCACCTTCCGATTGGAGTGGCGATCCTTGCCTGCCAGGAGAGAATTCATGGACTGGTGTTACATGTTCTCATGGAAAGAATTATCGAATAACAGCTTTGTAAGTCCACAAGGATATGTGACATGACTAAATTCTTGGCCCTGAATCTCATGAGGCATACATAATATCCTTACAATATGTTTCCTAGATAATGATTTATGCTAGGGGATTTAAATTTTGATTGGCAGTCGAAATGTTTTAATATTCTGTGAAGGAATCTAACTGGCATTGGGCTATCTGGGTCACTGGCACCAAACATAGCAAATTTGACTGCTCTACGCCATATGTAAGTAATCATGCACTTGCTAGTTATGCTACCAACCATTGCTCACCGGCATCTGTTTTCACGATCACTTACTAGTGGCGCTTTCGATGGAATTATTTCCTTACAGTTGGCTTGGGGGAAACAAACTTTCAGGCAACATTCCAGAAATGGGCTCATTGAAGGACTTGCAGAGTTTGTATGTTACATAGAAAGTTCTATCACTGTCATTCATTCTTCAGTATACTTTTCTATGCTTAGCAATCCATGCATACTTCTTCTGCAATGCTTTAATTCTGTTTTTTTCTTTTTTATTATCTGACGAAGGCATTTGGAAAACAACCAGCTTGAAGGACTAATTCCTCAATCATTACAAAAACTTCCAAAACTACGAGAGATGTGAGCAAATCATTCTCTCTATGTGTTTTTTTTATAACATTATTCTGTGGCATCAGCTAACTATTTTGGTGACC